CGCCTTAGGGTTGCCATAAGTAAGTCACAACAACAAGAAGGAAATAGCACTGTTCAAATTAGAACCGTTTTATTGAAATAAATTCAGTACATAACATGTGTATCCTCCAGGATAGAAAAATTTTGGGAAGAAGAAAAGAGGGGGAACAGGGTCCCCAAGTCTGGTGCCCCCCCCCCGTGGGTCCAACCCCATCTTTTGAGACCCACTTTCAGCGAGAGTGCCTTTAACACTGGCCCTTCCTTGGCCTGGTGACTGATGCATAGTGGCAGGGTGACCAGAAGTCCTCACTGCCAAGGAGGGCACCACAAAAAGGAGGACTTACCAGGAAAATGGAGGACATGTCCAAAGAAAAGCAAAAAACACTCATAGAAATATAAATTCATGCTTCTTGGTCCTGCTCCAAATGGAGGATCTTTTGAAATTCCTCCTGGGCAGAAGGCTGAAATGGAGGACAGGTCCTGGGAAAAGGAGGACGCCTGGTCACCTTGAAAGGGCCCTCCTAGGTGATGGCACACAGCCTCTGGAAAGGGTCTGCAAGAAGGACAAGGACCTTGACTGGCCTCAGAACCTTATCCCACGGGGCCAAAAGCAGCAAGAATCCACTAAGAATCAGGCACTATAGCGCTATAGTTTTCCGGGTGATCACATGACGTCGCTCAGAATCGGCTAAGAATCAGGCGCTATAGCGCTATAGTTTTCCGGGTGATCACACGACATTGCTCAGAACCCGCTAAGAATCAGGCGCTATAGCGCTATAGTTTTCCGGGTGATTACACGACGTCGCTCAGAATCCAACAAGAAACCGCTCGGAATGCAGCATCATTCGGGTTCTTTTGAATGTCGGTTTCAGCGGGCATTGCAATAGCGCTAGCTTATCCATAGCGCTATTATAGCGCTAGCGCCATATTATACTAGCGCTATAGTACTGCAATGATGCTCATATCGGTTTCTTGCCACTTTTGAGAGCAGCGTGGGATAAGGTCCTCAGTCACCTGGGCACTGGCTAGAGGAGTTAGGGATGGCTCTTCTTATTTGGCTTGGAGACCCACTCTCTCCTTGACAGAGTTTTGTGTGTGTGTGTTGTTGTGGGGCCTTCAGGTCGTTTCCGAATTAATGCGACCCCAATTAATGCAGGCCTGAGGCGACCCTATCATGAGGTTTCTGGGCAAAGTTTCTTCAGAGGAGGTTTGCTTTTCGGACTGGTGGGTGACCAAACAAACGCCCTTGGCCTTCCCGTTGGCGTTTCCCGCTCCTGGACAGAGTGACCAGATGCCCTCACTGCCAAGGAGGACAGGGCACAGCAAAATGGAGGACAGTCGAGAAAAATGGAGGAGACGTCCGAAGACAAGCGAAAAGTACTTAAGATAAAGATAAATTCCTCTTTCTTCGTTCTGCTCCAAATGGAGAAACTTTTGGAATTCCTCCTGGACAGAAGGTTGAAATGGAGGACAGGTCCTGGGAAAAAAGAGGACCAAGCCTGGCCACCTGCTCTTAGTCCTGCTCAGAATGGAGGCCATTTTGGAATCCTCCTGGGCAGCAGGAGGAGGTGCCCTGGAAAAGGAGGACGACGCCTGGTCAGCCTGCCTTCACCTCCAAAGGAGAGCAGGGCACCGCACAATGGAGAACAGTCGAGAAAAATGGAGGAGACGACCAAAGACAAGTGAAAAAATATATAAAGTCATGCTTCTTCTCCCTGCTCCAGATGGAGGACCTTTTGGAATTCCTCCTGGGCAGAAGTGGGCTGACATGGAGGAGGTGTCCTCCTGGCAAAGGAGGACCCCGTCTGCCCACCCTGTTCTTCATCCTGCCCAAAATGGAGGACTTTTTGGAATTCCTCCTGGGCAGAAGTGGGCTGACATGGAGGAGGCGTCCTCCTGGCAAAGGAGGACCCCGTCTGCCCACCCTGCCGCCAGTCTCCACCGTGGGCTCCTCCCGAGGCGTCCTGGGCGCCGAAAGGGAGCCTTCCCGCCCGCCCGCCCTTTTGGCAGGTGTCCCGCTCCTTCGCCCATTGGTCGCCCGCCTGGCGTTTGAACCCGAGCTCTGGCGGGAGAAGGCGCCGCTGCCAGAGGCCGAAGTCCGAGGCTCCCCGGCTCCAGCCCCGGCCCTTCCTCTCTCTCTCCGGCCGAGACAGACAGGGACCCCCGCGGAACCAAGCGAGAGAGAAAGCGAGCCATGGGCAACACCGAGTCGGTCGCCGCAGCAGCGCGCTTCGGCTTCAGCAGCAGCAGCAGCAGCAACAACAGGAGGAGGAGGAACAGGTGGGTTCCCGTCGCCGTCCCGCCAGGTAAGTGTCCGCCTCGCCTGGGGCCCAGGTTTCAGGCTCAGCAGCTCTGGAATAAAGGCAGGGGGACCAGACGTCCTCACTGCAAAGGAGGACAAGGCCCTGGCCAAAGGAAAGCCACAACTCATGATAGAAATGTAAATGCATGCTAAGGGCCTTTGCAGACTGACAGAAATAATGCGGCTTGAGACCACTTTAACTGCCCTGGCTCAGTGCTAGGGAATCATGGGAAGTGTAGTTTATTGTGGCACCAGAGCTCTCTGACACAGAAGGCTCAATGTAGGGATAGGCAACCTTTCCCCTTTAAGGGCCGAGGGACTTCAGCTCCCAGAAGCCTCAGCCATATTGGCCAATAGTCCCATGTTGGCCAATAGCTCCTGGGATTCTGGGAGTTGAAGTCCCTCGGCCCTTAAAGGGGAAAGGTTGCCTACCCCTGGCTCAATGTCTCAGGAAAAAAACAACAACTACATACAATTCCCATGATTCCCTAGCATTGAGCCAGTACAATTAAAGTGGCCTCAAGTTGCATTATTTCTGTCAGTCTGTAAAGACTGACCCGATGTCTTAGCTGCAAAGGAGGACAAAATAGAGGACCTCCGAGGAAAAATGGAGGACATGAACAAAGAAAAACCAAAAACACACAGATAAATATACATTCATGCTTCTTAGGGTGACCAGATGTCCTAAGTACAGAGGAGGACAGGGCACCACAAAATGGAGGTCTTTCAACGAACATGGAGGCCCTGACCAAAGAAAAGCCAAAAACACTCAGATAAATATAAATTCATGCTTCTTAGTCTGGGTGACCAAATGTCTGAACTACAACGGAGGACGAGGCACCACAAAATGGAAGTCTTTCAAAGAAAACGGAGGCCCTGACCAAAGAAAAGTTGGAAACACTAATAGAAATGTAAATTCATGCTTCTTGGTCATGACCTCAAAATGGAGGATGATTTGGAATTCCTCCTAGACAGAAGGGTGAAATGTAGGACAGGTCCTGGAAAAAAGAGGACA